CCCAAGTTGACCGATTATTCAGGTCAAACCTTCCTTATATTTTAGTTTTAAAGAAACTTGACATTAAATCAAGTTAACGACAAGGAAATACATAATTGTCAATAATGAAAAAATAATGTATTATGAATAACCATGTACTTTATTTTTGTAATCGTAATTGTTATCTAACAATATAAATAAGACTGATAATTGCTTTGGCATCAGTTCCGTCAGAAGGCCCAATCTATAAAAAACCCTAGGATCGACCCTGCTCCATCCTGGCTACTCCAGTCTGACTGCTCTATTTTGGTTCAATTCTTCTCTTCCCTCCTATCTTCATCTCCGTGGACTCAAATAAACTATGATGTTCCTTCTGTTCTCCTGTTCTTCCATGTTTCAATAAATATTTGAATTTGCCCCTGCAGCGCAGAAATCAAAAACAAAAAAATTGTATTTTAAAACTCTTCATAGTTTTATCTCTAATTCAAATTCCGAGAAAAAACCTGAAAGATTTTATGTATTTAAATCTTCAAAACATAAAGCTCCTCAAAAAAGTATAAAATACAAAAATTTTATTTAATAGATGAAAATGGGTCCAACAATCAAGTCTCTCTGACTTTTAAGCAGAACCTGTAATTTAACGATTGATTGTTGTGGGCCAGGAATAATTATCCAAAAAAACGAAACACCTATGACAATTTTGCTCCCACTTTGCAAACTGGTCCGAATTTGAAGTGTTGCCCAAGACTTGCTCTTAGTATGACCTTATAGTTACATTTTTGTAGCCCTGGAATTGAATATCTAAATGCTGCTTGTTTTAAGCTTCATGTTTGCGAGAGTAGTTGGCAAAATTCTGCTTAAATTTGCGCAGCAGATCACGTGCTTATTATCAGTTGACAGTGTATCAAGCTTATGATTAGTCGGGGCCGACTAAATAAATAAATTAACTGTTTTCTCTTCAAGCTTATGATTAGTCGGGGCCGATTAAATGAGTGAATTATCTGTTTTCTCTTCAAGCTCATGATTAGTCGGGGCCGACTAAATGAATGAATTAACTGTTTTCTCTTTAAGCTTATATGATTAGTCGGGGCCGACTAAATGAGTGAATTATCTGTTTTCTCTTCAACTAAGATAAATGTTAGAATAGTTAAATCCATGGATAAATAATGCACTCGTAAATCTTCCTTCTAGCCCCACCGGGATATAATTAAAGGAATTGAAAAATCCGGGAAAACCTGGTTCTATGCAGGATACAGGATACAGAAAACAGAGAGAAAAAATGCCGAATTATGTATAATGTCGGGAGGGGGTATTATGAATTCGGTCTAATTTATCTTGAAGTTTGTCAGGGGTTACTGATCCTTTTATCTTTACAAAGAACACATACAGAGCGTTCCATATCATATTAGATTATCTCCAATCTTTAACACCAAAATAAACCCTTAATACTCGAAAAACTTATCATTTTCCGCAAGAAAATTCTTATATAAGCCTTATGTTATTTTTCAAAACGATTCATTCTAACGAAATTTTCTAATTAGTCCCGAAAATCGTAATTTACACCCGTTCTCGGTCTAATATGATGTGGGACACCCTGTAAGTGATTTTTTCCTTTACAGAACTTGCTGAAAAAAGATTTTTTCATTTGAATTTTTGAAAATCACGTTGGAAAATGAATATTCGGAATTTTCGAAATATACATGTAAAGTCAGCTGCGTTGTGTTCTAACTGCACGCTAGTTTTTTGGCAATTCGAACATTATTTAAAAGATAAATGATGAAAGGTTAAAGGGATGAAAGATCAATGGATGAAAGCTGAAGGGGGGGAGGGATGAAAGATTTAGGAAGGGGGAAGGGGTTAAGGATAAAGTTTGTTTAAAGGGAGTGGCCGGCAATGTATGGTAGTTGAACTGAGTAAATTATTGTGGAGAAATTTTTTAGGAATCATTTGAGACCTATGAGATGGTATTACGGTGCATATTTGTTCAGAAACTCAGTAAATATACATCGTTAAAACGTTTTATATGTCTCAACTGAATCCTAAAAAATTTCTCTACAATAATGCATTCTCATTACCATACATTGCCGCTCACTCCCTTTAATGGATGAAAGCTAGGTGAAAGGAGTGAAAGGTTAAAGAGGAAAGAAGAAGGGAAAGAAAGGTGGAAAAGGAGTGGAAGGAGGAAAAGGAGAGGAAGGAGGAAAAGGAGAGGAGGGAGGAAATGGAGAGGAAAAAGGAAAAGGAGAGGAAGGAGGAAAAGGAGAGGAGGGAGGAAAAGGAGAGGAAAGAGGAAAAGGAGAGGAAGGAGGAAAAGGAGGGGAAGGAGGAAAATGAGAGGAAAGAGGAAAAGGAGATTGAGGAGGAAAAGGAGAGGAAGGAGGAAAAGGAGAAAGAAGGAGGAAAAGGAGAGGAAGGAGGAAAAGGAGAGGAAGGAGGAAGGGAGAGAAATGAAAGAATGTAAACAAGAGAATTAGAATTAGTAGAAAGTAAATTAAGAAATAAAGGAATGGGAGGGTAGGGAGGGGAGGTGCGGGGTGGACAGAGGGAATGGGGAGTAGGGAGGAGATGGGGGATCTGATACCAATTACCAGGGGAATTGGAGTCGGTGTAGGGCCGGGTAGGGGATACTAAGGAGGGGGGGGGGGGGGGGTACGGGATTACCCCAGTTGTCCGAGAATATGATTAGAAAAGAATTAGTTTATATTTCTGTAAGGTTGGGAATATTCACTGCTAGTTGGATATATATACATACATAATATGTAATTCATCAAACACAAGTTATGTAATATATATGTATATATATTTATATATATAATATATACATATGTAGTTGCTCAAATCAAAACAGTAAAGATTGGCACGGGGTAAAAATATCACTGCAGTAATATTTGTAAAGTTTAAAAAGAAAATATAATGAAACTTCAATCAAATTGGGCCGGTCTTCATCAAATTTTCATCTGTTTTCAAATATTAAAGGTTTCCGTGTATCCCTTCAGAAACTGCAAGAAAAAAATCATATTTTAAAATTTGGAGAAATAGGATGAATTGTTTATTTGCATTCAATGGCTGCATGCTGTTGTTCAGGATACATGTTGCATACCTCCTGCTGATCATGCATTCTCTCATAGCATACCAACGTCATTAATCAATAATTAATTATTTTCAATGAATAGCTAATAAAATGATGAAATGCTAATCTGTGTCCTAATTAAAGTTTAATTATCTAATTTGCAATTAAAGTTTAGATTATAATTAGATTAGTGGGATTATTCAACATTTATCTAGGAACAAACTCAAACTGGGAGGACTGGGGAGGAGGTTGGAGAAGGTTTATGGGTTCTCAGGGTATAGGTGGAGGTACAGATGGTTTCAGATATAAATTATACACGTTGAACTTTATTTATATCAAGCATAAAACTATCTAAATTAATAGTCATGAAATTTAAAATCTAAAAGGTACAAAACTTTTTTGTGAAATTTTTTTTTGAGTTTAAAGGGAGTGTTCGCGAAAAATGAAAGGAGGTATAGACTTAATGCGATAAAAAAGCGCTTTTGATCGCTACCAATCTTACTTCTAGCTGTTGCGTCTAAAAGAAAAAAATGTTAAAAACGACTAATACCGAAGAACGTAGTGTCCATACAAATTCAGAAAGATGCAACATACGACTTAGACCGTAAAAATATCTATTTAATTTCAAAGAAATCATTCAGATATTACAATCTATAGTCATTGATTATCTTTCGCCACATTTGTATATAGTTTATTTTTCATAATATGTTTTGATTTTATTTTTTAAAATAATATTAGCTTACAACTTGTTTTCGAACATTCCTGGAAAATATTAGAATGTCGTCTTCATTACCAAAAATCCTCGAAACAAGAATAAATGTTTTTATAAGTAACTCTCAGATCATAACAATTAACACTCCCTTTAAAGAGTTGGTACTTCTAGATGAAGGCACAAACATTAATCGTTTGAAATGAGCTGAAGAAATTCTCTCTACTCTCCTATTTAAAAGATGGTAGGAGCCAAGGGTTTGTACCTAAACCTACTCCAGTGTGAAACAGATACTGAAGTGATATTTGGGTTAAATTTAATTATTCTTTAGTCTCAATTCCAACACATTTCATTTTAAGAACTTGTGTATATTGTATACTGTATGTATGTTGTGTATACAGTATACAATATACTGTATACTGTATATAGTATATAGTATACTGTATACACTACAGTATGCAGTATACAGTATACAGTATAAAGTATACAGTATATGCAGTAAACAGTATACATTATACAGTATACAGTATACAGTATATTGTATACTGTAAACTGTATACAGTAGCAATGCAATGAATTCTCTGAACCTTGAGTTAGCAATAAAAGATAAGCAATACAACTCCTATTCCTGATAATAGCAGTGAATCTTCTGAGCCCAGACTCTTATATCAACAAAAAATATCTGAAATTCTCGATTAGCGAAGCTTCTGAGGATTAGCATTGAATTCCTTGAACCGTGAACCAACTATTTCAAGATTTTCAAAACCTTGGTTCAACGAGGAATTCTCCAAGCTCAGTCAAGAGAAGGATGAATTAAAGTTCGCTGAGTGTTTGAGAAGATAGTGGTTAAACCCTGGATAGAGAAGAAGCTGGACCAGTCCTTAATCCTACCCGGAGACATATCTCCGGGATACAGCAGAACCTGAAACCCGGGGTATACTTCCTCATCTTCGGGTTTCATCTCACGTGGAGTTCTTCTACGGAGGGGACGTTTTCGAGCCGGTTTCTCTACGTAATATTGATGGTAGAGCAATGAGAATACACCGACACTAACTCTATTGATTTTGGTTCCAGGTTGGTTCAGCATGGAGCTCAGAGAGAGAGAGAGAGAGAAAGCCAGGGAACCCGTCCCGACCCGACCCGTCCTGATCAGTCATACCATCACTACCGGCCAGCCTCAGCAGCCTCTCTTCATCATCTCATCCTCTCTGGTGAGGCCGACAGTCGCGTGGCACCCCTGGGTCCGCTTACATCCTCAACCCGGAGCTGAACTCTCGAGGACAGGTTCTCTCTTCATCCTCATCCTCAACCCACGCCAATAAAAGTCTGGGTAGTGTGTACTTCAAGCCAGTCTGGATAAAGCAGCAGGTGAAAACTTTTAACAAATCTTCAACAAATATTCAATCCTAATCCTAAGTAGATTTTCCTGAACGTTTTATATACTCACACAAGCTTTCCTTACACATATTCTTTGCAGGTTCACAACTTGAGAAAATATTCTGATAGTTGGAACCGTGGACACGGATACTCTAGAGAACTCCGGGTATCCTGAAAAATACAGTAAACCTGTCAATACAATCTATACTTTACTTCCTGCTCCGTGTATAGAATTACACAGCTGAGAATAGGACGGATTATCTACTGGATAAATTATATGAAAACCTACAGCTGGACTTTCTAACATGCCTTCTAACTCTGTTACAAGATTCACCAAAACTGCCTTCAACCGCCTTTAACACTGAAAATATATTCGTTCCAGGTCGGAAGCTATATCCGTGTATCCGGATATCTTCTGTTCTTTTCATATCCCGGAAAACCTGAACCCTCCCAGAGAATCTTGGATTCCAAGAACCGGTATAAAGCCAAACCAAGCGACTTGGTTTTGTTTATATCCCCCTGGGCCCACACTATACCAATAGATAGACCTTCAAGTCTTATGCTTTCTCAAACTCAGGAAACCCTATTCAGCTCCAGACTAGGACAATCCTCTCTAAATATTAGATTAGCTAAGATCGTAGTCTTCACCCCAATAAGTTCCCCCATCTGCATCCTGGATAAATAGATACCTGGAGAACCTTAACATAACCATCAAGAGAAACCAAATCTTTTCTTCTTCTCCAGGTACAATTAGGTACTGGAGTAAATCAAATTTTCCACTGTGGGTTGTAAACCCCAAGTATCCGTATACTCCTGTCAGCACAAACATCCAGAATATCCAGAATTAAGAGTCAGCATATCTTCATTTTCACTTCTCATCATATTTTATCCTCGCGGATGTATGTATTGTATGTATAACTAATATATGCTCCTGATCTTAATCAACTGTATCTTAGGGATAAAGATACTTACTTTAGAAGAAATATCTAATACCAGGAAAATGTTCACATAATCTCAAGAATATCAAGAATCTTCTGAACCTTATCCAGCAGAACATTTTTTATCACAAATGAATCTTCAAAGTTTCTCTGGACAGACGGGAGGAAAGGATATCTCTGCTCTACTTAATAAACCGGATTCAGCTTGTTTCCCTCACAAGATCAGAAAAACCCTCAGCTGTTTCAACTCAAACCCTATCAAAAATGTCCTTCAGAGTATCTCCGACTGTCTACTTGAAACACAACCTTGTTTTATAAAATTCTCTGATGTCTTCCAATATCGGAGTGCTGAACCCTGCTGTAGACAGCTCCATGATGTACTTCGCTATCAATGTCAACTTCCTTTGGCTATACTCGGCTGTTGGTTTATCAATGAATTCTGTTCCATGCTGTCATGCTTTGCTTCATCGCTTACAATCCTCCGATGTTTCCTTCAAGTTCCTTTGAAAAACCTCAGACCAACAGCGGAGTACCCCGTACTCGGGTTCTCTCTTCTTATGTACCCCGCTGTCAGATCAATATCTCCAACAATGTGCCCCGCTGTCGGTTCTTTACTCTACCAATATGCCGATGTCGATATCGCTGTCGGTTCATCTCTACACCGATGTACAGATTTTATCTCACTGTCAAGATCTTCTCTCCACCGATGTACAGATTTTATCTCACTGTCAAGATCTTCTCTCCACCGATGTACAGATTTTATCTCACTGTCAAGATCTTCTCTACACCGATGTACCCAAGTCTCGGTTCTTCTCATCCTCGATGTACCCCTCTGTCGGTGTACACCACAGGCCATTATGAGTTATTCCATAAGGCACGCGGTGAATGCCAACAGCGAGGTTACTCACTCTTCAAAAACTGGTTTGTTTTGTTTGTTTTTCTTTTTGAGCAGATTTTATTATTGTAACCGTTCTCGGCATGGCATTCCGATTGTGGCCTTCCCTATTGTACCCTTAACCCTACACAAAAACAAACGTGAGCATGCCGAAAGCTTAAAAATCGTGCATTTTTATGTAAAAATATTTTCCGATATTTCTGGTCCAGATTATTTATCAGTTTCTTCAGCTTTGTAAATATCTTTAAAATATTCAATTTTAAATTCCGATATATGATGTTAAAGATTGGAAATTTTATCTATAGAAGGACCGAACTTGTCTAGTTTATCTATGGTAGGACCGGACATGTCTTGGTCCAAACAAACCTGTATTTGCTCAGAATTCATCTCTTTGCATCTCCAAGACCACATCTTCTCTCATGGTTTATCCATACTATAAGCTCCAGGGGGAGTAGGGTTTAATTATTTATAGAGGTTACAGAACAACTATATTGAATTACTGGGAACAGGTTAGGAAACTTCTCCTTGGTTATCATTATACTTTACAGATTTTTACTTCTCTAGGATATCCGTCCTTGTTTATCATTATACTTAACAGATTCTTACTTCTCTGGGATATCCGTCATTGTTTATCATTATACTTTACAGATTTTACTTCTCTAGGATATCCGTCCTTGTTTATCATTATACTTTACAGATTTTACTTCTCTAGGATATCCGTTTATCATTATACTTTACAGATTTTTACTTCTCTAGGATATCCGTCCTTGTTTATCATTATACTTAACAGATTCTTACTTCTCTGGGATATCCGTCATTGTTTATCATTATACTTTACAGATTTTACTTCTCTAGGATATCCGTCCTTGTTTATCATTATACTTTACAGATTTTACTTCTCTAGGATATCCGTCCTTGTTTATCATTATACTTTACAGATTTTACTTCTCTAGGATACCCGTCCTTGTTTATCATCATACTTTACAGATTTTACTTCTCTAGGATATCCGTCCTTGTTTATTATTATACTTTACACATTCTTACTTCTCTAGGATATCCGTCCTTGTTTATCATTATACTTTACAGATTTTTACTTCTCTAGGATATCCGTCCTTGTTTATCATTATACTTTACAGATTTTTACTTCTCTAGGATATCCGTCCTTGTTTATCATTATACTTTACACATTCTTACTTCTATATGGGATATCCGTCCTTGTTTATTATTATACTTTACACATTCTTACTTCTCTAGGATATCCGTCCTTGTTTATTATTATACTTTACACATTCTTACTTCTCTAGGATATCCGTCCTTGGTTATCATTATACTTTACACATTCTTACTTCTCTCTAGGATATCCGTCATGTACACATTCTTACTTTTCTAAGATATCTGTCCTTTCAATTTCCTAGATCCAACTTTAAGACTGGAGCTAACTTTTGCGTATAGCAAGTTTAAAATTCCAAGAAAATTCTATCTCATCTGTTAACCCTGGAGTCAAAGGAAAGAGGGTTTGGCAGGGGAGGGGGTGGGGAAGCTGTGACCTAAAAAAGGGAAAGAGGAAAAAATCCTGTTCAAATAAAAAATTTATAAGACTTCTTTATAATCTAAGTTTGCTCCTATTGTACAATTTTATACTAGAGACATTGGACTCACTGGTTCTGCACGATCAAGGAAATCTTGCATCCGGAACTTTAGTAAGGATAAGAGCTGCTCCGTACTGCTTTCAAACACAGGATTGTCTTGCTTCGGAGATGAACTCTCTTCCTCCTGGAGCAAGATTATTCTTTATCTTGGCAGAGTGAAGATTGTGTCTGAATAGAGATGCATTGAGGTAGAAGTAATAAGAATACACAAGATTAACACGTGTAATTATTTCCTGTTAATACACGAGATTAACACGTGTAATTATTTCCTGTTAATACACGAGATTAACACGTATAATTATTTCCTGTTAATCCTTCCTTCAATCCTTCAATATAAAACTGTTGAGAGACCAATTATTGGTCACATTCACAGCACGTCAAAAACACTGATAGATTTTATTTACTCTATCTAATCCCCACAGCTATGACTCCCCCCCCCCTCCATCTTCATTTTCTTATATTCTCATATTACATATGAGTTAAAAAACCTCCAGTTTTTATCTGTTCTGCTCTCTTGTTGATTTATTAGTTGTTAAATATTTTATTGATTTGTTGAAAATAAAAAATGTTAACTTTTATTATTTATTAAATCGAATGAATGCGATCTTTGAAAGATTAAAAAAGGTTTAAAAGAAAGAAGATTTGCCATTGAGAAATTAAGTTGTTCTGTTATTTCCCATGAAATGTTTTACTAAAAATAATTTTATATTTTTTATATTTTCAACCTGATGGTGTAATCTGATGTTTTAATCTAAGATTATTTTATATCACAGAATTAATAGCTTTAAATATCTAAAGGTCTACATCATACAGAATATCTTAGTCTGTGGCAAAAACACAACTTCTTTGCTCAACTTTTTTTCCTTAACAATTAACCCTGTTTAACATTAAACGATTAAGCTGGGTTAGATGGATTAACGATCGTTTGTCGCACTGATTAGATAGTTCTAGTTTCATGCTTTGATGAGGGATTAACGATCTCTAACTGGAGGGATTATCGAAATCTTATTTAGGATTTAGGATTAACGAGTTCTCGTTAGAGGGATTATTAGTTTTTGAGAGCAAAAAACTAAAACCGTTAATAAACATCTTGACTGAAATAAGATAAAAATGAAAAGGTATATGATTTAGTATCCAAATTGGCAAACTGTCTAGATTTCATTAATTTTAAGCTTTTTTATAAAAATAAGTTCATTTTAAAGATTGTAAATTACATTTATCGAATTCTCTTGGAGATCTTCAAAACTTTTAAGATTGCATAGGTACGTAGAAAGTTTTTCTGACACAAGAGATATGGGAAAAAATAAAACTTAAAATAAAAGAAAAATTATGGAAAAGTTGAGATCAAGAGAACAGAAAAAAATGTAAAATATTAATTTTATCGAAACTCTATAATTTATGTGCTAAATTTGCATAGGTTGCAGAAATTCTACAAAACATGTTTATATAAAGATATTTCATGTTTTAATTGTAAAGGAACTGAGTTCTTATCACAAACTCTGATTTCCCAATCCCTATATATTTGCGACCTAATATCGTAGAGCGGAGATATTTCAAACTATGAATTGTGCGAGATCAAATGATCTAGGTTTGAAATGTCAAAGGTTTACATAGTCAGGTTGCAAAGATATACGGATTCTAAAATTTGAATTTGTGACAAAAACTCAATTCCTTTGCAAAGACTCAATTCTTTTATTGGTGTATATCGTATTGGTTAAAAAGGATTTTTGTTTTGATATAAAAACTCTATTTTATGTATATCGAAGTTAAAAGGTTAAAATTCAAAATTTTTTATCTAAAGTATTAAAAAGTGTTTATTTCTTTATGTGTTACTGGAGTTAAAAGGTCAAAGATGGCGTACATTTCCATGTTTATCAATTTTATAAAGTAAAAAATACGTATTTCTATGAATGTATCGATTTTATATATTTAAAAAAAAATTCTGTAATTGAAGAAATGTACATATAAAGGTTAAAGTCCATATTAAGACCAGATATTTCTCCGGGAACCTTCTTCAAAAAACGGAAATATTAAGAACACTTATTGTATGAAAAGTAGGAAAGGAAATCGTTTTGAGGCATACATTAAAGGAAGTGTTCACGAAAAATTAAAGGGGGTATAGGCTTACGGCGAAAAATAATTGCTTTTGATCGCTGCTAATCTTACTTATATCTGTTGCGTCTATAAGGAGAAAATTGTTAAAAACGACTTATATTGAAGAACGTAGCGTCCATACAAATTTAGAAAGTTCCAACATTCAACTCTGATCGTAAAAAAATCAATTTAATTCCAAACAAATCATTCAGATATCACAACCAATAATCATCGATAATTATTCGACATATTCGTATATAGTTGATATTTCATGAAATATTTTTTTTATTTTTCAGGATCTGATTGTTACCTTTGAAAATTTTATTCCTGTTTGGAGGTTTTTGATAATGAAGACGACATTTTCATATTTTCCAGAAATTTTCGAAAATCCAGCGCCAGCAAAATATTATTTAAAGAACAAAATCAAAAATATTATGAAATATTAAATATATACGAATGAGTCGAAAAATAATCGATGACTATTGGTTTTAATATCTGAATGATTTGTTTGGAATTAAATTAATTATTTAAAATAATGCGCGTACACAGGAGTTTAGCCAAAAAGGGGGCAAGATTTCGCACGAGGCGTGAAAAAAAAATTTTGCCCCCCCCTGGAATTGTTTTGTTCAAAAAGTCAATTAACACCATAAAAATACACCAAAAAGACTACATTTTTGGGTGTTTATACTAACCTTATAGAGTCTATTGCTCGAAAAACTAACTTTAACTTTTTAACTTTATAAATTTATAAATTTATCACTTAACTCCATCGCTGTGACTAAATCAATAATCACAGCATCATTAAAAAATCATATTTTCACTAATAAACAAAATTTCTTCTGAAATTTGAAGATAGAATTTTACTCCATCTACATATTCACCAACTCTTTTAAGCTTCAATTTTCTTAGATTTGCTTGCACAAACATTTCAATGATTTTCTCAGTAGTGAGCCATAAGTGCAAGAACGTTAAGTCTGCTCTCCGTATTAGTACATCTTGTGTAATAAAGTATTCTCTATAGAAGGCTAAAACTTCACTTTCCTTCATTCGATGTTACTGTCATAATTGCATAAAGGGGAACTTGAAATTACGCTTAATATCTCTTTGTGGAAGTAAAGGAATTGAGTCTTTGTCACAAACTCTGATTTTCAAATCACTATATCTTTGGAACCAAATGTTGTAGACATAGATAAATAAATAAACATAGATAGCTCATGTACGCAAAATCACCAAGAATTTTACAGTCCGCAAACTCATACTTCTAGGGGTCAAAGTGTACTTCAATGATAAGTGGGGTGGTTTGGTGTTTTAACGGAATTCAGAATTATTAAACCACTCAGGAGTGAATTTTATTTTGAGAATATCAAATTATGGGGGGGGGGGTTGAGGTAGAACATTTAAGGGTCATAGCTCAATTATTTTTAAGTTCCGCGGTATTTTTGATTTTTCCTTGACAACTCCGGACTCTGTAAAAAATGACTCTTTTCTAAAAGTCAAGAAGTGTCAGGTTGATTTTTTCAAAAATGAGGTACCTATTTGATAAAAATTTTTGCTCTCTCTTAGATAAAATTTAATAAAGAATCAGAGTTTTTGCCAAAAACTCAAATTCATGTCGTTTTAAATATCAAAGACCATCAAGTTGTTAAGATATACGGCTTAAAAATCAGTCAAAGTGGCAAAGTTTCATAAATGATAAAAAACAGTCTATAAACCTAGATTTAAAAACTTTGTGCATAATGACATCAAACTTTTATTGATAAAAAATTTAGTCTACAATCACAATCACTGGTTTTGAAAAAGAATAATCTTGCTAAGCAAACGATCGGAGAGCTGGAAGATATTTATCTCTACAATCCGCATATTTTAAATTTTTTATAACTCTTTGGAACAACTCCTCCAGAATTTTATTTGCTGAACTGTGAAGAAGGTTTATAGTTTCTTCTGGTAAAGAGAACTTGTCTTTTATTTC